AATTTTATAAAAACAAAAAACGATGAAATTTTTGTCGCAATTATTGTTATTTTTGTCAAAAAATTATACTTTTTATAGTTTTTATTTTCACATGTTTTCTGTACACGGATGGCGTGGCATGAGATTACTCTAGGTATTACCCGGGTGAGATTTACAACCACTGTCCGGCACCTGTCTTATAGCACACAAGTATTGTTCATGAAGAGAGCTTATCCGTGGACAGTTGGGTTAATAACACTGCCATTTAAATCCCAATTAACCAAATTGTGATAGACTGTCATGGAGTTGCTCTCTTTATGACAATCGCTTGATTAGCCCATCAATCCATCGGCCCATACCTACCGGAGCACAGGATATCTGTCAATACTTACCATAAGTAGTATTCAAATACAACTACTTTTTCACACACTTTCAAATATACAGATAATTTGCCGTTTTATTAATTATAATTCATAATTATATGAGATTTTATTAAATTTGTTGAATAAAAAAGTTAATAACTTTAAAACTACTTTTTAAAGTAAGTTAAGTAAAGTTTTATTGTATTCATTGTGTAAATCAATAGTTATATTCAACATAAAAATTATGATTTCAACTTTCAATTCAATTGAAAACATACTTTTCCCATAAAAATCAATGTTATTTCGCTCTAAATGTCAAGAATAATACAACAAATTCTTTCTCGCGTTTAAAACCGGATTTAAAAAACTTGTCGCTATTTTATGCGCTAATCCTATGATAAGCTCTGATTTGATTCAACATAACTGTTGGCAATAAATATTAAAAACATAGTATTTCTCACTCACGCCTACTATTTAATCCTAAAAAATACATTAAAAGTATTAAATGATAAAAATAATATTGTCTAAAATAACAGTGTAATCACTTTTAACGAAAAAAAACTTATTTTTAAACCACTATTTACTTATTAACACACCTTATTTTTAGGGCTAAATTGTGAGCAAAAAACACACATAATTTGCTGCAAAAAAATATGCCATAAAATTACATATCATTTCTACCCTCACATCTCATAAGCAATATAACAATTTAGACATTCAAACAATTATCTCTCGTTATGTATATAAAAACACATAAAAATCTCACATTTATGTTGTTTTCAGAGATAAGACACACAAAAAAGTGTCACAAAAGTTGTGCACAATTTTTTTTATGCGATGAAATATTTTACTGACGACTCATTACATGTATATAAAAACACATAAAAATCTCACATTTATGTTGTTTTCAGAGATAAGACACACAAAAAAGTGTCACAAAAGTTGTGCACAATTTTTTTTATGCGATGAAATATTTTACTGACGACTCATTACATGATATATTTCTTATGAAAATAAAATACAAATTACTTTCTAATTGGTAATGAAATTCATGTGAAAACACACGTGGTATTCAGTTTGGGGGCACAAGTAAGGGACAAATGGGGGGAGGGGTTGTTGTGCCGCAAATAACCCGCATTCAAACACGATCACAAAATAATAATAAACAAATCAATAAAAATTAAATAAATTTTTATATATTGTACTAAAAAAAGGTAGAAAAATAATACAAAAGCGTACAAAACACACACAAAAACATTATTACAATCACAAAAAATGAACTAGATGACAATAAATCAATGAAAACTGTAGTCAATGGTGGCGACAATACCGCGCACCCGATCGGCCACCGATTCCGTGTCGCGGTTGCGCTCTTTGGCGGTCAACTTGCCGTGCAATCGGACCATATAGTCGTCGATGGTGTCGGCGGTGGGCGTCTCGGCGGTGCCCGGAATGGCAACCGCGGCAAACGCCTTGACCAACACCTGCCGTACGTGTTGGATGTGTTGCGAGAGTGTCTGATTGTTGGTGCGCTGCTGTACGGCCTCGACCTCCAGCTTCTCGATGGCGCTCTTCATGTTGTCGATGTGTTTGGAGAGAATCGCGTTCTGCTCTTCGTATTCGGTGTTCAGTTTACGCAATGACCGCAACTCTGATTCCCGAACCCGATTGTGGTCAAGAAACTCTTCGGTAAATATCGGCAGATCCAGTGTCGACCCGCTGTTCATCGTTTCCATCATCAGCTCCTGGTTCTCATCGGCTATGAGTTTGTGTCAAATGAAAATTTTGTTTAGTTTTTTGCTGTATTTTAAATGTTGTTTTAAATTTATATATAGTGTACAATCAAATGCATGGTTTTTTATTGGTGTTTTCCTGCTGTGTGTCCACTATATCCTGTGTTCACTATAAAGTTTTGTTCATTGTATGCAATTTTAATGATACACTTTTAGCGCATTAGGCAATTGGGAGTAACAATAAGAAATACGATTACCATATATAGTAAATAGGAAGTACACTATAAGCATATTATGTCAATACCTGTATATAATTGCTGTACACTATACAGCATTTTATTGCATAGTTATAAATTGTTTTATCAGTTTATGTGTAATAAATAAATAAATAAAGGCATAAAGAAAATGCTATACTTCTTAAGCCATTATCTCTTGGATACCACTAAATGAGATATCATTGAAGAGATGAAAGACATATCAATCATAAAAAGCACTGAAAAAATTACTGCAAAGTTTTGGTTATCTAAATGAAGGGCGCGTTTCATTGGGAGAGCTATTAATATACTGTCCATAAGATTGAAGGATAAGACAAACACAAATGTTAAATACATAGGGATTGAGAGGAGAGAAATGGTTATCATTTAAAATATTAAAAGTATAGCTCTCTCCCTCTCTCTCTCTTGAGTTATCTAATCGTCACTGTATTTAAGTTATTGGGTTTAGTATTTCCTGAAGTTTTGGGATCAAAACAGCAAACATTCACTGATGTGACAGGTTTTTGGTGGCAATACTATTGTAAATGCATTTATTTTGCTGTTAATTGTAATGATACTTATATTTTATAATTTTAATCATAAATAAATTATAACCAATCCTAAAGAGCGCTCATTGGGTTTGCTTTCAGATCACAATCATTATTATTATAAGTAGTTTTGTTGTATTGAATTTTGAGCGATAATAACCCGGGTATTCAGTAGAGACAATGGGTGTGTGGGTATAAGGGATAGGGGTTTAGGCGCATAGTTTAGTTTAGTTTACAAATCATATCAAATGCAGATATAACTAGTATTTCAATCGAGAGATCCATTGCCGAGATTACAGACACAAGAAATGCTAAATTAAACCATAGATTGTGTAGAGAAACACAAATAACTCATTTAAGCGTTAAATACAAACATAACTGAAACGAGAAAAACACAACATTTAACTCAAAACTAAAAACACCACAAAAAAACTTCATTATATAAAACTAAAACTCAAAACTATTGGTATATTTTGCAGTACACTATTGGACACAAACCAAACACATCCACAAGTGATAACCAGAATCACCATCAAAAACAACAACACATCAATAGCTTAGACAACCATTTGATTTGATGCATACCATTAGAGTTGGATCCATGCCTACCACCCGCACCAGCAGCAGCATTGGAAGCGTTACCACTGTTAGCACCGCCACTACTTTGACCACCACTACCACCAGCAGCGGCGGCGGCGGCCGCGGCCTTCAGCTGCTGTTTCTGCTCTTTGCGCTGTCGCTGCTTCTGCTGGAACTCCTGGTAGGCTTCTGTGCGCTGGTATTCTTGCAGTTCCTTCATATAGACCTCTTTGGCGCGTTCGGCTTCGTCCAGATAGTGGCGCTTCTGATCGGCGGACATCGCCGTCCACTCGGCGGCCAACACTTTGGTAATGTCGGCGAACGAGAGGCCCGGATTGGCCGCCTTCGCCCGCTCGCGGTTGCTGTTGAGGTACCGGACGTAACCGTTGAGTGGCGCGCGCGGGGCGTTCTGGTCGCGCATCTGTTTACCCCGTTTGTGCTTTTTGGCCGCATTCCCGCCGCCGCCGTCGCCGCCAGTGGCCGACCCTTTGTCGCCGCCCTTTTGAGCGCCGCTGCCTTTTGCCGGTCCGTCGGCCGACGCCCGCCGTTTGGCCGCCCCTACAGTCGACTTGCGTTTCTGTTTCGGGAATATTAATTAATTTTAATTAGTTTTGTTTAGTTATAGTCAACACCTGTTCATAGGGTGACCAGGTTTGAGGGTCAGGGTCGGGGCACCGGTGAGTGTTCAGCAATGTTAACAATATGTAGCATGGTTATTCCGGGAGTTTTGCATACACTCTAATTATCAACTATTATAAAACTATTTACACTAGACTATAGTGTGTAAGGTATGAAACAAATATGAATCAAATTATAAATTGACCATGGTTAATTTATAATTTTATTATGCAATACTCACATCGCTTTCCATATACTCCTCGTTGCTGTCATTGTTAGCCATTTGTTATGCAATTTGTTTAACAAAAAAGCTTTTAAATTGTTGTTTGTTTTTTGTCACTAAATTTTGCGATCAATTAGTGATTAAAACGTGATTTAAATGTTGTTTTTGGTTTTGATTGACAATTAATTGTGACTTTTTGTGTGTTATTTGCTATGAATGATAATAACAGCACATGTATTATACACACGTTTACCACTCCATTGGTTAACATTAGTGACGCCAATACCGCTATAGTTAAGTCACTTGACTGTCAAGTATTAGTGTTGTAAACATTGTATTGTTTGGTGCGTTAAATGTGTGCACTTTTCGGTCGACTATTCATAGACAACGTTATGTACTTTTTTGGTGTTGGTTTTATTTGTCCCCCTTTTGGTTATTGTTTCAATTGTTTTGTAAAGTTTTATTTATTTAATTAATTTGTTAATAGTTTTAATTTTATTACAACACTGTTTATAACCAGCGTTTAGTTGATTGCCTTCCGATCGTTGGTATGTATTAAACATTAAACATAAATGTGTTTTAATTTCGTTTTTATTATAAGTTTTTTGAGGTTATTTTTACATTTGTTTTTTATAACTTTTATTTATTTGTTTTATTTTTTTGGTTATAAATAATAAATGTCTCTAAACTATAAAAGTTTATAATTTTTCTTATCGATTGATTTGTATTATAAGTTTTGTATATAAAAACTTCACTCAAAAACAATAAATTAAGTTTTCAAACATAATAATTAAACGTATAGTCAATTAAATCACAACTTTCTTCACTATAATAATAATTAATCAAACGCTAATTAAAACCAATAGTTAGTAATTAATTAACAATAATAAGCTATTATACAGAGTATTAATTGTAATTACAATATAACAGCAATTTGTATAATAAACTCCCGCTTTTATAAAGCTCTTTAACAAAGTAAGTACTCATAAACAAAGTGTACATTAAGTTATTTCAGCAAGCTATGTTTAGTATACAGCATATTAAGTGGTAAGTTTTTTGTATTACCATCATTAAAATGTATATAATTAACTAAATTATAAATACATCATAACCTCACCAATAGTGTACACTAAACAGCTATAACATGTAGTCTTAAGTATATATTTTTAATGTGTTTTTTGGACGTACACTATAAGCGAGCGAGAGAGAGAGAGAGAGAGAGAGAGAGAGA